GGTTCATTTAACTATTATACGTGATGTACGTTTTTTTGGGGGTGGTTAATGAAAATGTTCCAAAAATGCAACATTAATTTCTTGATGATCTAATATTTTACTTTATTAATTATGTCAAAGTCTAACGATCTTATGTTTTTCTTTCGATCTCTGGTATTAAGCTTTACTCTGTTCTAACTGCAGCTTACTAGTTAGTTGAATACGAATACAATTTAGTCAGAAGTCTGATATTAAAATAGGAATTATTGAAGGTGTGATATTCGTGGAACAAGACACTTAATATAACTTTTTTGGATTTTGTCACATTCTCTTTAGGCAATAGTAAGTATAAAGAAGTTTATTTGGAGCTGTTAGCAATTTCTTGTCCCACATAACTTTAGTTCTGCACGAAAGAAAAGTTAATCACATTTTAGTTCACTACATGCAAAAAAGTGTGTAGTCTATAGAAGTATTAGTCCTTTGAAATCCCCGGATAATTTTAAAATGCCTCATTTGCTGAGTTAGAGCTATAAACGATTTTTTGTGTCATAACAAGAAACTAAGGTCATGCTTTGAAAAATATCATCTTGCTGACCTGACTTGCAACTATATGCGTGAACAAGAATTATTTCTACAACAAATGTGTAAATTAATTGCCAAATACTGCACATGACTTCAACTGCTTCAATTATTATCACTTTGTTACTATCCCTGCTCATGACTGTTCTCCTGCTTCAATTATCACCAATTAATTTTACTTTTCCCTATTCACGATTGTTCTCCTGCTTCATTTCTCATTACTCTTTTTCGTTTGACTATTCATTACTGTATTTTTCATTTTACTGCTTGTGTCTGTTCCAATGTTTCTTTGCTATTGCGTTTTGCTGCTCATGATATTTTCTTATTTCGTTATTCATCACTGTTGTTACGTTTCACTGCTCAAGACTATTTCCGTATCTCGTTATTCATCACTGTTATTACGTTTCGCTGCTCATGACTATTTCCGTATTTTGTTATTCATCACTGTTGTTACATTTCTTTGCGCATAAATATTCTTGTGTTTCATTTTTCATGAATTTTGTTACGTTTCACTATTCATAAATATTCTCACGTTTCATTATTCACAAGGGTTTCTGCTCTATCATCTGTCTTCGACTTTATGGATCTGACGATCATCAAACCTAAAATTAGAAATTCTTGTGCTTTTCAGAATTTTCGCCTAAAGTAGAAGCTTGTTATCTAAAACATTTATACGAAAAAACAAACCATTGCCACAGAACATGTATTGTATTCATTTTGAAAAATACAACGCAACAAGATGGTTTATACAAATAAATAAATAATGTTAGTAGGTTTTACGAAGAGATATTCAAAAAAATAAATATACGTATGAATTTGTAAAACCATATTAAACATCGTAATTTCTCTTGTTAATTCTTTTATCTCAACTTGTTCTCTTTTTTTAGCAAGTGTGTTTTTTATTTGTTTTTAGAGATATAATAACATAGTGTCTGCATACGAAGATTCTAAGGTTTGATTTTTTCAGATAATGCTACATGGTGGTGTACTCCAAAACATCAATGGGCAAAGAAAGCGGGGAAATACCTTGGTGATTATTCTGCTTGCTCCATGAAGATAGTAACGGTAAATACAGGAATATCGATTTTTGTAGTTTTGTGTAGTATCTAAGTACGTATTAGTCGTTTATAATGTAGCATAAAAACAATATTGATTCATTCTGGATAGTGTAACAGCCTCACACAGCTGTAGCAGAAATTAAATCCAGCACAAAACTTTATCTTATACAACAAATGAAAATCTAACAGCAGTTATAATTGTCATCTCCAAACTATTGAAGGTGGATGAAGGTCGTTACTTTATCCGAAAGCGAGTTGCTACCCCTCACCGTATACATTTTAAAAAGAACAGGAATCATACTTCTTAAAGAAATTCATCAGCTTGAATAGAAGACGATGTTCTGACAACTTTCCTATGCCTAATTCCTATTAGAATCCGTAAAAAATAAACAAAAAAACATCGATCCAGCAAACTAGTTCCTTATAGATATTATAAACCTTGTTACCTGCCTCCTCTACCAGTTGACTAAGCGTAAATTCATAATTTGCTATTTTAGTTTGAAATTGTAGTTCAACTATGTTAAAATATTTTTAACAATGATCTTACATTGACATTGTTCTTTATTTCCGGCAGAGTCGCCAATCGGAGTGTCAAAGAGTTTCTATAATATGGCAAAAAACTTACTCGACTTCTATTCATGAACGTAATTGCAAGTACAATCGTAAAGGGAAATGTTTAGAAAAAAGAAATACAGTAACTTTTTGTTCTTTCTACGGTGTCTTCGAAATATCGTTTAAACCTATTGTAGATATGTAAGATATAGTGAACAACATTTGCCCGCCAAAACATTCTTCGTGTGAATTATTTATAAAATATGTTAAAAAATAATCAAACAATTTAAATATATAGTTTAATCTCTGAATCTAGAATCCTTTCCTAAATACATATCCTAACCGTTTGGTTTGGATAGTTGTATAACCATTGAGAGTGGTTTTATCACAGAGTATTTCAATAATATTATTCAAAATAAAGATGCAAAGAAACTGTTGTACGCAATGTAATGAGAACAAATATCACATTCATGAAGTTCCAAACTTGTGATATCCAGTTGTTTGAAACTGGAAACGGTTATTGACATAAAAGGCAAGGCATTTTCAACGAAAAAAATTACCTTATACACTAAATTGAATTTAAATATTCTTGGGGAGGAGGGGAGAGTTAATGTCCTAGAATGCTTGAGAGACAGACAAAAAAGTAACATGGAGAACTGTGGATGAGTCCAAGAAGACTGATAATGAAAATGGTGTAATCAAAATGAATAGCATTTCTCTGGAAACTTTAAGGAAAGTATTCACTTTTAGAATTTCCACTCTGATAAAACACGTTAATGGACACGTTTTACCACTGATTGATTCAGACATCTATGTGTATAAGAGTTTCGATTCGGTTCATGTAAGCAAAAGTAAATATTTCAATCTGTAGTTTCTTACATTGTGTAAATCAAAACACTATTAATAACAATCTTTTAGATATACACCTAGAGATTCAAACTATTTATGACGTGTATATTGCAAGATATTGAAATCTCTCTACTTCAGTCTATGGAAGCTGTAGTTGTGCAAGTTTCATTTTGATTGATCGAAATATATAAGAATATCAAGATCTAATTTCGCAAAATGTTTTACCTTTAACCCCTGAAAATCGCAAGGAAGGCACAAATTTTATAAGAAACATAACATGTTTCCTTCCTATGGGGGAGATATAATAATTTTAGAAATATATTTCCTTTGTTTGGGGATATCTAAAAAGAAACGAAACTGTATATGAAAGAAGGTGCAAAGTTTCAGTTTAAAAACAGGTTTTAGTATATCTTTAATATAATAGAAGGGAATAGACAAGAAACTTACTAAGAAAGTGATCTCGTCTTATACTAAACTCACTCTTAATATTTGAAATGTTAATCTTAGTTTCTTGTTTTTAAAGATACATTGTGTGAGAAACACTGTTTCTTAGTTAATTAGACACACGGTATTATTTCAAAAGCACTTAGGTTCAAATGTACAATATTGTAATTGTGAGTTTAACAAGATCAACTTCTTACATGAAATCTCTACTCTTATGTAAAAAAGCATTATATTCGTTATTAGTTATTTTCATTAGATATTTTACAACTATTTGAAAATCTAATGTGTCACCAAAACATTTGTTTTGTTAGATAATTAAGTCATACTGAATGATTAATATCTTAACAACTCTTCAGAAATCTAATATGTCATCAAACTGCTTATTTTGTTTGGTAATTATAAATATACTGAATGGATAATATTTTAATAGCTTCTCAGAAATCTAATGTGCCATAAAATAGTTTGCTTTGTTACCGTTTTTATGGAAACACTGAAATACTATTAAGTGAAGGGAAAATTTATGTTTCTTGTTATTAAATATATATCCTAATAGAAGGAGAGTTGCAAACTTGTTTCTCAAGAAGAAACACGAAAACAAACTATGATGAACAACATATAATGAAATATAAACTGTGCGTAAACTTGCATACCTTTCATTTTCTTCCTTTACCGATTTCGCAGTTTCTCAGGTTACTCTCCAGTATCGATATTAAACTTTAATTACGTAAATAAAAATTGATTCATTTTACACACTGACATTATTATAAAGAGATGTAAACTTCCACCTACAATGTAGTAATGCTGAACACTAGACTGGCGTCATCTAAAGCGTCCTAACTTACAAAATTCCTGAAATACGTGCCACTGCCATCCCTGGTGGCTTAGCGGTAGGCTTCAAAGATTATAGCGTTAAAAATATGGATTCGATGTCTGCGGCGGACACAACGTAGATGGTTCATTGTATAGCTTTCCGTTTGAAAACGAACAAAAAATCTGAAAAATTGTAATCCTCTCCTGAACCGCCATATATTGTGTAAATAAAAATTGCATTATCTTTAAGTTATTATTTAGTTTTCAACACAAAAAATAAAAATTTTCAGAATTTTTCTCGTAAAGCTAATCAGGGCTATCTGTGCATAATCGAACCTAATTATGAACTGATACACTATAACAAATGCAGCTAGTCGACAGCACCCACTGTCAATTCTTGAGCTACTCTTATTTGATCGTTACTCTTATAGCATACCACTTCCCCAAAGTGCAGAGCACGTTTTTACAGCAACAGGCCGCGAACCCTTGAATTCACAGTCCAGACATGATAACCACCTAAACGCGCCTGGCCCCAAAACCTAACGAGAGTAAAATGTTCATATAAATCAGGAGAAGTTATTTTTCACGAGCGCAGAGGACGCTCTTCGCCAACGGGCCACAAGCCATGAGCCTTTGGAATCATTTTCTGAGCACGCTAGCCACTAGGCCATCTGGCCTGAAAACAAAAATCGGCAGGGAAGGCCTGTATAGAAGTCATTTGAAAATGTTTTCCTTAAAGAATACCAAAATTACTGAATTTTTAAATGGTTATATCATTTGTGATAAATGGGATAAATTGAGTAATAGAATGTTTTTTATTCTAATGCTACATTTACCAGTGACTCAAGTAATTATGCTTTATTTTATATTATATAAGAAGAAACATATATAGAGGAGCTGAAAATTTGCTTTAACGTATGAACTTAAATAAATCTCAAGTTAGAAATTCATACATTAGTCCCTTGTTATTAAGTATTTATTTATTTATATATTTTTAATTGTATAACCAAAATTCAAACGAAAAAGTACAAGTGTTTCTCCCAGACTGTTCTTGGTGCACTGGTGCTTTTGTCTTTTTTCGTTGACATTGCAATTGATTTTAGAAACCACAGAAATGCGCATTTTACTCTGCTTAATAAACTAGGAATACGAATAACCTGTATCTGAAAGTGCTGTTATGCACCGCCCCACCAAGGTGAAACCCATCCCAATATGTTGCGATTTACGTTTTCAACTGATACGTGGGTGCGTATTACTAGTCCGTGGACACGTTATAAAAGTCACACCATTTGGTCTAGGTGACTTGTCTCTTTGTAACAGAGAAGTTTATGATTCTAGATCAGAAAAGGGAGTTTCGTCATCGGTATCTGAAAGTTTAAAAATGTAAGCTGTGGGAGGCTAAAATATTAGCAAATACATTACTCCAACTTACAAGCATGGTTTCAAATTTGACTAAAAAGAACATTGCAAAACCTATGCACCTTTTTTTCAGATAATGAAAAGAGGCGTGTCACAAACTAAAGTATAGGAGAATTGCCTTCAACATTATCTTTTGTTATCCCTAGTTTTTTGTTTTAGTCTTGATAGTTCTATAAAGTATTTGCGCGTCTTGAGATAACCTACTAAGAAGGTACAACAAGCCTGTCTTCATTGTGCAACTATATGACTACATTCAGCATTTAACCAGTAATGTAAGATTGTATTCCTACATTTCCATGAAGTATTGAAAGAATGTGCAGCAACAGGAAAAATCGATCCAAATTGTCAGGCATTGGTAATGAATGTAGAAACGGAACAGAGGCAAGAATGGATCCATTACATAAAAACTACTCCATATAATCTGATTACGCCTTGGAGGTTGTGTGGAAGAAGAGGATTGAACGGATTGATAGGCTATTGATGAGTTAAGTCAAGGAGGCTTGTCCTTCGTGTTTCATTATCGAGTATAGATCTTTAAATATCAAGTAATTTCTGAATGACATGGCCATTTGATTTCATGTGGTCAGAACCCTACAAGTAGTGAAATGTATTAATACCTCTAAATAAAATTATTGTTGTTCATAAAATGAACCAGTCGGTGTAGCTGTTTCGGGCACAAGGATTATATACTAATAAAAGAGTAGCTGCGAAAGATCCTGCATCAACACTCACAGAAAGAGAATCGTATAAAATACTTACTGGAGCAAATTTAATACAGAGTGTTCATGTTCCACTTCAGTATAATCAAGATAACAGACAGAATACCCATAAATGCTGGACTTGAACTGAGGTTTCAGCCAAATATTACAGATAACCATAATGTTCGAATCTCCGGCGTCTAGTTGTTATTTACTCATGATGAAGAAAATCCCATTTTCTGAAATCACTCGGATCTTTGGGTTTATTTTCTGTTGCAATCGTGTAATTGTTTCAATTAAAATAAGAATTGGGCTTCTTCTGTCGAGATAACTTCAACAGTAATCTTTCGTTCTACCATTATTTCTTATACCAGAACAAACGGTTTCCTAGTCCATAACAATAAACACTGACGGCGTTTTCTGAAATTTACCACATCAGAGCAAGGTAGTACAACCGTATTTGAAAAGGGGCGGCTGATTCCTTTATTGGAAGAACGAAACGCTACAAATTTTACTGAGGTAGTAGTATTTTGAGGTTTTGCAACAGCTTCAGTTTAATAAAAGTCCTTGAATTTTCTCGAATTTAGAATGGAATAAGCTGTATTCGTACCATCTACCAAGGAACCAATATTAGCTACCCGAGGGCCAGGAACATCATTCTTATGCATGAACAAGACTAAGCCTAATCTGTCCAAGGACACTGAAGGCTTAGCACATACAGGATGAGATGGTTGAAGAACCTGGATTATGAGAAGCCCTATTATCTACAGTGTGATGGGGAATTATGTGTCACGCGCCTGTTCAGAAGCGTTTGGTAGCCTTGCCATTGTCTCTATCAGTGATAATCACATATTGTATTCTTAAGAAAAAAAGTACAATTTATTCCGTTTCAAGGCCACCTTGTCTTTTTTTTCATAAATATGTTACAAATAAGTTTTTATACACCTGCAATACCTGAAGAAGCTATAAGTTGTTTAATTCTCCCACAATCTATACGGGTATACCCAAATTATTTTGGCCAACCCTGTATACATCTATATTTATACGTTTCTTTTTTTTTCTCTCTCTCTATAATGTTTTTTTAAAATAGAACCAAAAGAAAATATATACTTGATTAAAAGATCTCTAACTTAACAGTGAGCTTTCTCATTTCTTTACTTTTTTCAATGTTATACTGTGTAATGTTGGATTTCATCCAGTATAAAATATAATTTTCATTTGCTTTCCCAATAGGATAAACATGCAGATACTTTAGCTCGTATTCTACACCAGATGGCATATTTGGAAGAATCCCCCTATGCATCTACAGCTGTTAAACATATTTTCGAAACATGTGTGAATGATGTATTAATGAGATCCCAACCAAAAGGTGATGGATAATTATGTATTCTTTAGCATATGTTTTATATGTACGGAAATGGTATGCATAATTTTGAAATTACAGATTTCGTAAGTACAAATAAAATGTCAAATTTCTGCAATTTCAATTATGTGAATGTATGTCAAATATGTATGATTTGAATTATTTAGATACAACAAAAAATAAAGGCACTTTTTTTTTCGGAAATACTAATACAATTAAACTTAAATAATCACAGTCCATTAATACAAAAAAAGCATGTCGTAGTAAAGTGAGTAAAATGCGGTATTAAATGGTGAGGTGTAGAGAAAAGGCATCTAAACATAGATTCTATTATCTCAAATCTCTGCTAAAACATAGTAAAGAAGTGTTATTTATCACACACTGTGTAGATCAAATAACATTACCGATGACAGCTCAAAGGATGATTATACAACATAATATTCTTTTGTACAAGGCATATTCATCTAAGCACATACATACATTTCTTAAACAGTAGCCTTTCATGTATATATTTTTTTTGAATTACTTGAAGAACTTTACTGTCATGGAGTATTTGACGGGTGGGGATGCTGGAATATCACAAAGGCAGGTGAAGTCGCTTTTCAACCATGCCCCAGTTTTGTTCCTGGTTTCTCTCCCGATCGTAAGTAACAACATTAGCCTTTGTTCTTTTAGCATTCTAAGTTTATTTTATGTATATATTTGAAAATTATACTTCACTCCAGGAGTTAGACATTATTGTGTGATAAATTCATTAAATGAGTGCTGTATGCTTGAAGCCTTCCCAAGGAATTTCGAAATATGTGCTTCACACATCTATAAAAAGTGAAAGTTAGGATTAAAAAGGTGTAACTTTCAAAACCACATTTTAAAATATTGATGTAGGCATACTATGAAAGTAGTGGAAGTGCTTGAAGTTGATGCATAACACTGAAAACAAAAGGAATTTAACCACCACTTAAAACCTGGAATTCCAAACGCTCCTAAGTTATCATGACCGAAGCATTCACAACCAGCTGTATTGTATTAAATATATCACTGTGTTGTAGTGTCAATGAAATATATTTTATCAAATGGATTACATGATAATTAGTTAGGCCAACTAATCTCAAGTGAAACGTGTTCTTCAGCTGGTTTATTTTAACAAGTTAATATTAATAAATTATATACATACGATTTGAAACAACCTGCTTAATTACGATTACATTTTAATGGTTTTGGTGGTAAGACTTAATAATTCGTGGTATAGAAACAAATTCATTCCCATGTTTGTCGATCATATGTTTAGTCTTGGCAATAACTTTTATTTCCACTATTGTGTGTAGCCTCCAGTATAGAATAACTTGTTATGTTGTTATGAATAAATGCTATATCTTTGAACGCTAACAATGTATAATATAATATATTTAACACGTTGGTTGCCATGTGTCCTACCGGTGGGTCACAACTGACTTTTAGTTATGAACCGAGTGACACACTGGTGGGTCATAGACAATTATGTTTCAAAGCCAAATTTCTCTTGTGGCATATGAGTTTGGGACACTGTGACTGCTGCTCGGCATCGTGACATACGAGTTTGGGACACTGTGACTGCTGCTCAGCACCGTGACATACGAGTTTGGGACACTGTGACTGCTGCTCGGCATCGTGACGTACGAGTTTGGGACACTGTGACTGCTGCTCGGCACCCTTTGAATGTATAATTTTATGTATACTTAATTTTTTATGTGGCAGCCAATGTGTTAAGAATGGTAAAACATTTTGACTTTAACTACTTTTCGCCCCTAATAACTCTAAACTCATTATTTATGTTCATCAAATCATTATTGTTCCCAAACGAGTTGTGAGATTTAAAAATAACGACTATTTTTACATAGTGTTACAGTATACGAAGTATTTCTAGTCTCAGTGGAAACATTTCACATTAAAGTCAATAAAACTGTTTTCATTTTCAGCAGTAAGTACATTTATATGAGGCTTTGAAGAACAGGTTTGGTCAAGCGCTACTCAAACATAAGCAGTAAATTTACTTTAAGCTAATAAACCAATCATAGTTAATCTTTTATAAATGGTGACATTTGTTTTTATTTGATAAAAATTAACGACGAAAACATGATTTAACTATAAGAAACGCCTTCCACGGACAGCCCACTGATCTTTTGAGTTGATAATGTTTACTAAACAAAACTTAAAAGCTATAATCACCAAATAGTTCTTTGAAATAAATAACTTATATTTTGTGAACCCTAATTCTCGAATGGCTACACTGGATCCCCTACTATACGTCTACGGCAAAGGATGTTTAACATCGTACTTCTTTCACTAATAACAACTAACATGTTTTACATCATGCTATGGTATGTGACTGTAATATTAAGTTCAATTTGAAATTCTATTCAAAGCAACAGATAAAAGAATACGTTTATTAAATTCTCTGGCCATTAAGACCATCCAACAAAAAATAAGCGTCATGTCTTTTAACATGTTGATTTGTAAATATCAATTTCTAAACTTGCATAACTCAAATCAGTTAAATGTTAGAAATAAAAATGCTATAAATCTGAAGCTAAACGCTAAACTAGTTTGATTGAGTAGTAGATTAAGCCGATTTGAGTTTGTACAAAACGTTCTTTTTTGTATTTATATTAGTAACTTACTGACACTTTACTTTTCTCTATTTAATAAACTCTTTTGTATATTTATTTTTATGGAATTGCTATTTTGTAACGTATTCTATAATTTGGTTGGATCTTTTATATTATTTGTTAAAAAGAACGCCAAGTTTATTTCACGTTGCGAACACAAATTAATTTATTTTTTCAATAACTTTGCTAAAGGCTACGGCGTTCACTCTGACACAAGTTGTAGGCGTAAGTTTACAAACAGCCTTTCAATAGAAACCGCCATAATAACAGTACGTATGCCTAAATTGCAAATAAACTTAAAGAATTTGCTTGCTAATACACGCAATAACTCTAACCACTAACACTGGAAAAAGAACTCTCATTGAATACATAATAAGTGATAACTCATAAACTGTTCAATAATTCACTGCTTCACTAGGTCTCGTATTTATATTTTTCCCTTGCTTCTACATATTGCCTGAAATTACAATATTCTACAATGAACTTTCGAGATATATTGCATCATCATCGTTATTAGCTCCCTCCAGCGGGCAAACATCTAAATTAAAATATTAAACATATAGCTTACAACATTACAAAGCTTTCTATAATAGCACTTTGTTGTCGCATAACATATAAGATTGGTTGTATTACAAGATAATTTTATACATGAGTAAACATAATTACATATTCTGCTTCATTACAATCTAACGTGATTGATACGGATATTTATATGTGACTGAGATTTTGAGTAAGCTCTTTATTACAAGCTTTGATTAGTCCTAATCCTTGTTTGTGTAAGAATAATACATTTCACTACATATCAGCTGTGTTCTTTTCCCACTTCTTGCTAATTTTTTAAAAATGTAAATTAAATTAATAGGCGTGAGGTCTAGTCTTCGATATAATATTATGTAAGTTTTCGGTATGCATTAATTTTAACGTTAAAGCGAATCGGATGAATGAGCATAAAATATATTTTATCTTCTTTAACTTGATAGAATTTTTAAAGGTTACAGTGACAAAAGGCCGCGTCCCGTAATATAGCTTGGGTTAGGCAACAAATATTTTAAAGTATGTTTTATATACAGCTTAACCTCTCTTAGACAAAGATTGATTTTGTTTGGTTAGGTTTATTATATTCAAAACGATTATTGTACATCAAAAAATCAACAATTTCAGGATAACAAATCTTAAGAGTTCAGTGGTCAATATTTTAAAATATTTGATAACAGCATATAAGTCAAGAGTCGCGAAGAACAGGTAAGGTTTCTATTTTGTCATGTATGCGTTCTGTTGCTGCAGTTGAGTATGTTAAAAGTGTTGTACTAAGTTACTTGTCTGAAGTAAATGGGCTAAAACATTTCAGTTGAAATCAATATCACTATAGCAGCCATTTAAGCTAACGATATAAATAGCATCCATAATTAATATTTTCCTAAATTAAAGTGCGTGCCATATTCCTGTCAGACAAATCTACTAAGGGTATCTTTGTAACATGTTAAAATACGCCATAAGACAACTCTTTGTTTCTATTATATGTTATTGAAGTTTTAAGACAAAATTATTGTGCTTAAAGGTCGTTGTTGAAAAACTAAGACTCTTACCATACTACAATATGTTTGTTATTTGATCTTGTTTATAAATCCTTATGACAACTATGACTGATACAGCTTTTATCCAAATATAGACTATATTGTGGAACAATATGACATCAGGTTGTTATTGTGGTATTCAGGTCTACTGACGTCATACAGGAAGCTATACGTATTTGCAATATATATATGGAAAATTCTGGAAATTTATACCAAAAATCAAATAAATCAAGAGAGCAAAGTAAAAATAAGTAAGCTGAAGTGCAAAAATAAACAATCATACCACTTAGGGCTTTGCCAATATTTGAGGTATTATATACTATGTTTTATAGTCTTCTGTAGCAGGCGGTGAAATGAGCAGTTCTTTCAACTTTAACATTACATACAATACCAGTCGTGCTGGTTGTTGTTATTGAATTTCGCCCAAAGCTACTCGTGACCTAGCTGCACGAGCAGTCCCTAATTTTGAAGTCATATATTAGAGGGAAAGCAGCTAGTCAACACCACCCACCGCCAACTCTTGGGCTACTCTAATCGACTAATGTATCCAAACTATGGAGCGTTATTATTATTATTATTATTTTTTGTTGTTGTTATTTTGGCGAGGCTCATAACCACAGTCCGGCACTGTAAACACTGGACTCCACTCGGCCCATCCATACTGGTAGCCTCCTAATTTAAGAAAGATAACTTATTAATCTACAGGTTGTGACGTAAATAATTTCAAAATGTTGTATTAATGTGATTTAAAATGGATTATCGATGGAAACAAGTAAAACAATGACTTTATTTATTATTCGAAGTTGCATGTTATATAAAAGTGTAAATATCTTAAACTGCTGTGAAGAAGGCTACAATCACATTTAATATTACTCACTCGACATTAAATCAAATAATCTCAAGAACTGTATGTACTGTTACGTATTATAATTTCAAATAGCCTAAAACTGAGTTAAACTGTAATTTAGATTTAGTAGTTAAATAAATTCCGATATATATCCAATTTATTATATTTGCCAACAAGATGGATACACACAATTTTCTTTTTTTTTAATACAAATATATTTTAATATGCAAACAATAATACAATTTACAATAACGGTTATTACAAATAGTTATTACAAACAATGAATTATATACAAAAGTTTTACAAACTTACAAACAATGTAAAGTCATCTTTCTGGTCTGGAACTTCCTTAATGTTTTATAGAAGGTTCACGATGAGCGAGTTAATTTCGAATTGACGTAAGTACAATTCACTTAATAGGGAGCTAGCTAGCTCTGTGGTCTTCACTGATCACACGCGTTTTTTTTCCACCGATGACGTTAGGTAATGTTTTCGTAAAAGTACTGATGTCTGATGTGAATCCACTAAAGTTAAATGGTTAGTAATGTTCAAAATTTATAAATGTTCCTGGTCAAAT